TCTAGCTTTTCACAACTTCAGTCGCCTTTCCGCCAGCGGTGCTTTGGAAATATGGTAAGGATGCACAAGAATGCTGCGTTATAGGCAAAAATCGAACCCCAGGTGGATGTCAAACCCACCAGAGCTCTCACCCTCTCACAAGGAAAGGATGGTTGGTCGAAGTGGCCATTCGAAATGAGATGTATACTGCCCGGTGGGCCCTTGAACGCTGATTACAAATCTGCCCTCCATTTCTGCTGAACGATTCCCTGGGACAAAGTTATGCAGGAATTTTGACCAGGTCACACCCATTTCCAGCATGTATTTGAGGCACACCAAAACCCCCAAATTTGCTAAAATCTGGAATTAGAGGTGGTCTGGTGCTCTGGAAATCATCACTGCAGGTATTTTTCATAAAAATGTCTTGTTCACATTCTGGAGGGGCAGGGTGTGCAGGACCTGACAACTTCAGAATGTGAACAAGACATTCACACTTGCTACCACACTTCCTTGGCGAGCGTTTTTACGCCGAGCAAGTGTGATATTCGTGTTCTGGGGCTCAAATTAGCCCTAGAGACAAGTTTTCAACCAAATCTGAGATTTCGACCTATTTTCGATACAGTGGGGTAACCATGGGCAACGAATTCCTTAAGGTCGCTGGCACTATCGCCGATCAAAATCTCTGTGAGCCATGCAACTTTTCCGCTGAATCTCAGTCCTTATTGGTTACTGACGGCCCTGATCACAAACATGACATTCACTTCTGGCTTCCATGCCATTTGGAATCAGTTTGGTGGCACAACACAACGTAACGAATAATGCCGCCGAAACCAACAATCAAGGGTATCCTTCAGGAGTGTTCCAGAATGGCTCCATTCCTTCAGAAACAACATTTTCGGTAAGATCACGTCTCCTAACCCCGCAAAAGTTTTGAGAAAATGCAAAACCACAACTCCAGGAAGGACCCGAACCCTTTTGAATTTGAAACGCCTATTCAATATGCATTCCCTCCAAATGTCATAGAACCCTGTAACACAGCAGAGTGCAAGGAAATTTTTTTATCCGGTGTTCCCATTGCGAGAAACTTTTTTGCTTCCAACACTTTGTTCTGGATTATCACATTTGTTCTTGAATCACAAAACTTGTTTGTACCCACTATATGAGCAAAATAAATCATTAGAAGTGTTCACAGGCGAGAATGGTTCAGTTTTCCAAGAAAAGCCCTATTCATGGCATGACAAGGTTCCCTGATCATGCTAGGCTGTGTTAAAAACTTCCAGAGAGCACTGCTGAAACAATGCAAAAGAGCACGTCCATCAAGGACTCGAACCTCTGACCTCGTATACTTGAGTCCGGCATACTACCCACTAGGCTACCGAGGCACACCGTGTGGCGACTCACGTCTTATTTGTATACCAAGCTCTACTGTGCTCCGTACAACAACCTCCTGCATATCTCTGCTCAGAGAATCGTTCAGCAGATATGGAAAGCAGATTTGAAATCAGCGTCCGAAGACGCATCAGAGTATACATCTTGTCTTAAATGGCCACTTCGACCAACCATCCTTTCCTTGTCAGCTTAACGCCTTTTATGCCGCAGCCTTACAGTACTCACACGTTTAACATTGGTGAGCCGGTCAGCCGTAATCGTTAGATATCGACAATGAGCTGTTCAGCCGAACACGTTTCACAAGTTTCACAAGTTTACAAGTTTTTAAAGGTAAAAGCTGAGAGGGTTAGAGCAGCCCTAGTGGCGTAAAGGATAGCGCACTCGCCCGGAAAGCATGAGGTGCGGTTCAACCCAACGAAATAATACCGGTTTCGTTTTGAGTGGCCATGTTGCACTGAGCAATTGATTGTTCAGTAATTGGTCGCCAACCAAAAAAGTCCACGCTTGGTAAGAAAAAAATCGAACACTTCGGTGCCACTTCGGTGCCACTCTAGGCTACCTCTGGAAGTGGATTGACAAAGATGCAGAAGTAGTGGCAGTAAATTCGTCGAAACCCATGAATATTTCATCTTACGGCAGGTTTGATATGGCATGCATTAATTCTGTAGTGCTATGAAATTTTATGCGCTACTTCTTTGAAATTTGGAGCTCTTCTCAAGCTCGTGGTTTATGGTTTCATGAATACGCTCATGCATATTTTGTCAACGCCTTTATGCGTGTGCATACTTTCTTCTTTTCAAAAGGGAGAGAGAGAGGTCTAATAGGCTCCTCCAGTATCTGTATCGCATTGGTAAAGCATGGTTCCACTTCTGTGCACGAATGGCTCCCCTCCCTTTTCCGACAGATCAATACGACCATCCCTCACGGACGTGAGACTAAATTGACCCTTCCGAGCATCATCTAGAAAACAAACCTTGGGCATACTCGCAAATAACCAACGCTCTTGCAAATACTATCGGGAAAGAATCTCCACGCAAATCTCCGGGTAATAAAGTTCTATGTTTCTTTGCACATTCGTCCGAAGACCCTTTTCAGTGTGGAAACCGATCGACGATGACTTACTACCCAGCTTGGTGGAAGCAAAGAGAAACACTGTCTCTCTACGGAACTACGTGGCCCAGAAAACCGGGTGGAACATGACATCACTCGGAGCACTTGCGGATTTAGCTGACAATCTAATTGAAATCGTTTGTTCCACATTGCACAGTTCCGTATGATTAAGACAATGGTCCTACAACTTTATTCAAGGATATGTACAATGCATCATATCCTGAGTGGCTCCTTCACCCTGAGCTACCTGGTTACGACAGTAATAAAATCATCAGCGAGATCATGGAGTTCGGTTAGTGGTTCAACCTTATTATTGGAACTTAAAGTGTCTCCTGGGCCGGGCCATGAATTGTGAAGTGAAACAAAAAGTTTCTTCAGCTGAAATGCCGCAGATTGCATGCACCAACTACGCTCCTTGTCGTGACCTGATGGCTGGTGTTTGGCTGCAGCATATTCTTAACACGACAGAGGCTGCTCAGAAACGCAGCTCCCCACGAATTGTTGGATACGCCTCGGTTAGCACATTCAGAAACATATTATTCTTGTGAGAAATTACTCCCATTTGAGCATACTGAAGTAACACTTGCTCTCATGAAGCTTATCGGAATCGAAAAGGAAGAACTAACGACATCTGCTGGTTTCGTTATTGAGTACCGGTGAGTCGTCCAAGAACAGTTACTTCTATCTAACGAGATGCACCTAGCTGCTTCGAGTTAGAAAGAATATCGGAAACTTCGGGGAGTTTTTCTGGCTTTGATGTTCTGACTGTAGCCCCAGTGTGTTGTATAAGATTTGCTTACTAATGGTAGGAAGGTAACTGTTGTGAAGTTCGCGGCGAGACATCACACTAATTTTCCGAACTTTCCTGAGTTTGTCCTTATGTCGTCATTTTCGCCAAATGAATGTAAATGCATTGTCTGAAAATACGTTCACCAATGTTGCAAGTAATGGGAATTGCAGTTCGAAGCCTGCACCATCTGTACGACTACTGGGTCATGACCCCAATCCCATTGACGAACATGTTATCTACAAGGTAAAATGCTGAATGACTTAGCTTTCAATTTTCATTCCTTCATTTTGTCGTTTTAGGCGAACTTAGTGCCGGAGTTGGCTCACAAAGTGGATTCGAATGGGTTTCTATTGCTTGAAGATTTCATAGGATACGTGTCCGCAAAGGTTTGTTGCGTATTGAGCAAGTGGGTCTGTCTTCGCTTCTTCGCTAACCTACCGTTAGGATAAGTGTGGACCATTTTTTGATAAATCTCTACAAGACTTTGGAAAACGTCGAAAACCGGGTTTGACTGCAGGATTGAAAAGGAAATTTGAATATTTACAGTGGCAGGTGATAGAAAGTCTATAGACTTAACGCTAATCGAACATGTCTCTCCTCCAAAAGCGGTGATCGAGCGGGGGTTTTGCGTCATTTCGACTTCAGGCACAACAGATATATGTAGTTGACTGAGCGACAATGCAGCATATCGTACAGGCCGTTTTCGTATGCCCCATTCTAAAAAGCGCACTGATGTCCATAAGGGCCTCTTCCCAGAAAGGGCTATCAAAAGATTCAAGAATGTTTTGGCGCTTCCCGCAGCTGATTATGTACTATCTCTAAACGGATGCAGTGATGAAAGGGTTATGTTGTATGCGTTCGCCGGGCGCGCATAAAACGATAATGTATCCATGTTACGGAGCACTTTTGCGCTCAACAGCAATCAGCACAGAATACCTACCGCCTGGTCAATTTTCAGGCGAGTTTCACAGCTACGAAACAATGTCACCCGAAATGTCGTATTGCGGGTACAAAGACCTAAGATCAACTTCATCTAATAGGAAATGAAGTAATGGCAGTGAAACTATATTCTGGTCAGTTGAATACACTGAACATATGAATGTAGCTCAGTATACCGATATGTGTTTCCCTGATTTTTCGGTGCTAAGGTTCTTGTCGGAGGCACAGCAGAACTGTTTGCGAGCAACTCAGTGGCACTTTGATGAGTGTTGGTCGAAGGGGTCATAACATCGATACTCACAACAAACGTGCGAGGCCATTCTAAACGAAGCGCTGACATAGCCTTTCCGATGCCTTGTGTTCAATGGCACGGTCCGCGCATGGGCATAGAAGCTTGAAAATAGTATGCGTCGGTAGGGTAGGCGGTCCGCGACAACAACCTTTAACGCGACCGTCCTGCGCGCAAAAAATGTAGGGAAGGGCGCTACAAGCGTAGTATAGGTTCAGTGACGCCTCCTTTTTTCAGTGACCTCTGGACTCTGCCTTCAAAGCTCGCCTTTAGGTGAAAAATGAAGCTGCAGGACAAAAAAACATAAAATTGTCACTTGTACGGTCGTACAGTCCTTATCGGTTAATCAGCTGTGCTGATGAGGGATGGTGTTCGAGAATGATTTAATTGGGCCACCACAAACTGGGGACAGAATGGGTCTATCTCGGGAAGTTGGCTGTGTTTTTTTTTACTTTTTTCTTTACTATCAGTTACTCAGGGCCTTGTCGTCTATATGCAAACCCCTAATCCTCTATCTGTGATGGCGAATGATCGCGGGCTTTGCCTTCAATGTACTGGAATCAACGAATTTAAGTAATTGACTGCATTTAGCAACTGTAAGGTGTAGACAAGAACCAATCGAAGGTGTAAGCGGCCGCAAGTTGCGAGCTCATCAGTAGTTCTGCGCGTGGATGCTGACCTGGTTCGCGGACAGCGCAAGACATGCAATACGCATAAGATATCTGGATATTAGGGGGGGGGGGGGGTGCCGCAACGATTATATACAGATGGCTGTCCAACACAACATGTGTAAACACGCTCAGAGACGTTTCCAAATATGCTTAGCTCTGTGACATTATACTCTTTTTATACGGTGGCATCACAAAACGCGAAATAAGTGGCATTGGATGCTTAAGTACCGATGCAGTCAGCTCTTCGCTCGACGTAACCGCGATTTTGCAATTTTTATAGAAATTCACGATCCAGTTCCTGCAACCGGGGGTCACGAATTTCAACCTGAGCAGGATGGTCTGAATTATCAAATAATTGTTTGAAGTTATTAGGTTTGTGCGAAAAGTTTTGCAGCCTTTTTGTGTTGCTATTTTTTGTACATTCACTGAGCTGATTCTGAAATCCGCCTTACCCCTTGCGTCTGCAGTAGTTGACTCCTAAAGAGATTTTTGCGCGCCTATCTGTGGTGTAATCGCCCATTTCAAACATTGCTCGATTAAGCGCCTCTTTCCCACGACTTTTGGAAGCATGTCAAATAAGATGCAACTTTGAACGATATTTTCTTGAACTACAAATGCCGGGCGGCGGTCAATCCCAGTGTGACAGCTGCGAACAAATTAACCAGGTGTGGGGCCCAAATAGTGTTGGAGAAAGCACCGTGCGACAATGGACAAATTTCGTTCTGGAGATTTCAGCCTTGAAGATGAACCTCGTAGCGGTCGACCTAAAGCAATACCTGACGAGGATTTGAAGGCGTTTGTGGAGGCTGACCCATCCCAAACAGTTCGAGAGATTGCAGAAAAGCTAGGCGTTGGCAAATCCACTGTTGCTGAAACGCATTGGGAAGGTGAAAAAACTCGACAAGTGGGTGCCCCACAATTTGAGTGACCGGCAGAAATTGGCACGTCTCGAGGTTTCTTCTTCACTGCTTTTGCGCAACAGAAACGACCCGTTTTTGGACCGAATTGTCACCTGTGATGAAAAGTGGATCATGTATGATAACAGGAGACGTTTCGGACAGTGGTTGGATGCCGACGAACCACCGAGGCAATTTCCAAAGCCGAATCCTCACGAAAAAAGATTATGGTCACAGTGTGGTGGTCATCGGCTGGTGTGATCCACTATAACTTTTTGTCACCAGGCCAAACCATCACAGCAGAGTCCTACTGTGAAGAAATCGACGAAATGTACCGAAAATTGCGTCAGCTGCAGCCAGCACTTGTCAACAGAAAGGGTCCGATTCTTTTGCATGACAACGCCCGCCCACACGTTTCACAAATCACTATCCATAAATTGAACGAATTGGGGGTTGAAGTTCTACCTCACCCGCCATATTCTCCAGACCTTTCACCAACCGACTATCACCTTTTCAAACATTTTCAGAACTTCCTTGCTGGAAAATACTTCATCAATCAGGACCAGGCAAAAAAGCCTTCGTGGTGGATTCTCGACCACCCAGTTTTTTCTTTGATGGGATTTCTCGACTGGTGTCACATTGGCAAAAGTGTGCTGATTCGAACGGTGCTTATTTCGATTAAATCCGATGAGTATGAGAAAGTTATGATCGTTCAAAGTGAAACACTCAAAACACTGAGAACAACCTAATAGACGGTGGTGAGAGTAGAGCAGTAACTTTGGTTGAATAAAATTTGCGCTGTTTCACTGCTGTTATGATGTCCCTGTTGGCATACCAGGTTATGGCTAGCCTGAAGAGAACTTGTACTGGGAGCGACTATTCAATTTTCCCCTCAGTTAGCCGTATCTGAAAACGTATTTCGTTTTTCCTGAAAAAGGCACGAAGCCCCGAACTATTTAAAAACATACCAAGAAGTTTTCTTTCTTCAGCTAACGACTTCTCGAGTAGTAAACATTCTGAGAGCCTATTTAGGCTCCTGAAATGCTTATTGTCAGTTGCAACACAGCATGTCTTAATATTGTGGGTTCAGAGTGTGTCAGGACGCTCGGAACCCCACAATATTAAGTTACTCCCTCCTGACTTGTACAAATGTGATGAGGATCTCCTTCACTCGTGTGTAAGCTCTTGTTTTTAGGCCATATTGAACTGGAAGAACGCTTGCGGAATTCACAGCGATTGCTCAGTCAACATTCTTCATCAGCGGAACTACATGGCACAACACGACTTCGGCCCTTTCTCTTTTGCCTCTACAACTGATTTTTTCTTCGCGCTGCTTCTCGTCTTTCCTTCCTACTTCCAACTGTAAGGTTAACTTGTCTCCTTTCACAAGTCCTTCCATTCATCACTTTCTAGTGCTTTAATGTCATAATTACCATTGATTGATATACACGTCCCTTTGTAGGGTCGTGCAGGAGCAAACTGAATGTAGAAATTCGTTCCTGTAAATGAATCCGGCAGTAGGGTAATAAGGTTACCGTTATACTCTTCTATTCTGCCGTCTACTTCAAACCTTTTATGAATGAATTTTTCACATTTTAAATATAATTTCGCCCTAACGGCGTCACTCTCAGTTGCCTTCTATCCTTAAAACACACGACTTTAAACTAACTTACTTCCTACTATCATTTCTTTATCAAGCATGAGTAAGTTACACACTAATTTTTTTTTTT